ATCCGGAACTGAGGCTGGGCTTGGGCAGCTGCCTGAGGCAGGTTCGGCCGAGCCGGCAGCGCCGGTGAGGGTTTACGGGGAAGGCAGAGCTGAAGGGCTTCATCCTCTTTCCTTTTGGCCGCACACCGTTGCTGCATTGAAGCCAGGGCAGAGCCAAAAATGCCTTCAGGCACGATTGGCATGTCCAAAATGTCCTTCTCTCTCTCAGAGAGGTTGGTGAAGATCAGCCATCGTGCACGTTCTTGAAGCACCATCATGCCCATAGCTTTAGCCGTAGACTGAACCGCGCAGCGCTGCACAAGCAGGCAGATGTCGGTCAGTACGGTGATTTCCTCCCACACCTCCGGGTCCGGCTTCGTATTCATGTCCTCACAGAGCTCGGCTTGGTACGCCGAGAGCATGGAGGAGACGTTCAAAGCTCGGACCGAGATGGCGGCAGCCTTGTACGCCCTCTCGTTCAGCGCCGACTGGAAGCGGTCCGCCTTTGCAGGGAGAGCGGGAGGCCTGGAGGAAGTCGCCGAGAGCCGTGGGTGCAGGTGGGCTGCAACCAGCGGTTCCATCGGCGGCATGCGAAGCATGCCAGCCTTCTCCATCCCTTCGAAGTCCAGCGAGGAGGCTCCTTGGACAGGAGACCTGGAGCTGAACGGGTGTTTGTCCCAGGAGGCCCTCACTTCTTGGAGAAGCTCCGGGAAGGCGGGAAGGAGGGGCTTTGCCGCCCTCGTGGCCTGAGGCAGCTTCTTTCCCTCGTAGCGGGATCTGACAGCCTCAGTGACCACGGTGGGCCAAGGGATGTTGAGCCTGGTCGCAGCGCGTCGGCAGACTGACTGCATGTCCAGGTGGGCGGCCGGAGAAGCCGCTCCATCCCTAGGAGAGGACGGAAAGCTAGGCATGGAGGCCTGAAAGATGGGGAGAAAGACGTCGTCCTCCTCTGAAATGAGGAGTTCCGAGGTGTCCTCGTCGTCTCCGTAGTCCAACTCCAACACGTCCTCGGCGGGGTGGCTCGGACCGGCCAGTTCGAGCTGTGAGCCCCAGCTGAGTTCGGCACACGGTTCCGGCTCCGGGAGGACATGTTCGCTGGCATCCCCAGGCGGTGGCCCAGGGGCCGGCAGGCAAGGGTCCTTCCCCGACAGGCTAGCTTGGCGCGCTAGCCGCCGGCGAAGGCTCTTCATGGTGAAGCAAGCACAGCTCTCACATGACCCGGGGACCTCCAATGCCAGCTGAGCGTGTTCCAGCCCAAGGCAGCTCGAGCAGACCCTGTGCGGGTCTTTGCTTGAGATTTTGTTCCCACAGGTACAGAGGCGAGCTCCTGCGCCGTCGACTCCTCTGGTGGGAGGAGCGGCTTCCATGTCGGCTAACTGGTGTGTTAGCACAGAACGAACAGATGCACTGGAGTGTGAAGCTGCTCGTTATGCCCCGAGCCTATGGTGAAGGTCAGGACAGAAGGACGGTAAGTTAACGTTCGGCGACCGAGAGAATATTAAAAGGCTCGGTCTGTGAACAGTTGAGCTAACTTACCTCAGAGATAAGCGACCACCGAAGCGAGAAGAGGTGATTGAATAGTGCGTACGTTGGGACGCTTGCTACTTATAGTAGCAGGTGACGCGTACGTCACGGTCACTGGCCAATCAGGATTGGCGTATTGAGATAAGTGCTTCTGAGGAATCCGCGGAGGGGCGTATCCCATAGTGAGACATCGAAACGAATGTTAAGAAAGAGAACTATAATTAACACACGATTGTTCATGTCCATACGTGTTCTCTGCTTTCTGAAGCGCTCTGCTGCTGCGGAGCTCATCACTTGTGCTGCGGTGATTTCACCTCACTGATGCAGCATCGAAACGCGCTCTCCGCTTTGCTGTCAGGAGATCCCTTTGATCTGCTCAAAAGTAACTGATGAGGTGAAAAAGTAAGAATCCAGGCAACAGATTTTCTGGAGAATTTAGAGGAGATGCAGGAAGATGAGAGACAGACAGGACAGGAAATAGTTCAATAAAAACAAGAAAACAAAACAAAGTGTTGAAAAGTAAAATGTAGGTAGATTTATCTCCACTACACGTTTTTACCTGCATAAAGCAATAAGTTCTACACATGTAATAATTATACATCTGATACAATTCAGATCACCTTCAAAACTCAGTCACACACCCAGGGCCGTTTCAAGACATGTTGTACCCTCTCCAGTAGTGTTAGTTATACAGTGTTTATAAAAGCCCCTCAGACATCACTGACTTGCTCTAATATTATCAGATGAAAAACCAAATTATCAGACATGCTGTCTCATCTGCTTCTTTTCTAAACTTGCAAAAAGTAACAAAACCATTTGAAAGCCACTATTTGTGGATTCTCTGAAAGTTTCCATGGAGTGTGGGACAACTTATTTTTTCATTGATCCTATCGTCTAATCTCACAGCTGAAACAAGCATCCTTAATAATCTGTGCACAGGAAGCGTACCGATGCTGTAGTAAAACAAAAGTTATAATAATTTCTTATTAATAAAACCTTGTTGCTGCACTAAAGCAGAAAAATGAGATTTTGCAATAAATACGCTAAATATTTACATATGAATTGTTTTAGAGCCCTTTTATTGGCAGAATCTGATATTAATTTAGTTCTTACAAAAAAATGGGTCCCAACGTGGTTTGTGTGGCGTTGCCATAGTGTGACGTCATAGGCACAGATCCCCTGTCCTCTTGTTTGGAAATGGAAATATGATCACCCTATTAAACAAACTGTCCACCCGGGCTTTTGCCCTGCACAGAGACGCTTCGCTTGCTATGACTGAACGTCAGTTGAGAGTCAGTCTCATGCAGACTGACCAATGAAGAGAGGGCCTCAAGTGAAGACCCTCTCCTCATTGGTCAGTCCACATGAGGTGGGTCAAAGGTTACTCTGAGCAGGTTACGTGATGTCAGGCATTCAAGTATTGAGTATATTTACTGCATATTACAGTAAAATATTCTGTATGTGACCATATTATGGTGATCCTTGGGTCATGATGATGGGGCCCTTTAATATTGTTGCCCAGGGTACAACAAAGTGTTAATCTGGCCCTGGGCTGTAGAATTAATTAATGCAAGTTGAAAGTGTTTTCTATAACATTAACACATTCATATGCGACACAACTCAACTCACTCACCTCTCCCAAGCACAGCTAAGCGCGAACTGAGGGAAAAGAGAGCCAACACGGAAATGACATCCAGTGGGTTAAGAAAATAAAAGCTTCCCCGCCAAAATAAAATACAATCTGTATATCAAGAAGATAAATACACACAGAAAGCAACAACTGATTTTGGATGGAATATAAAATTGCTTCTCTTGTTTTACACACCTGTTACACTATACCTGTTCAAACTTCCAAATCTCCTCCTCCTCGGTGTCATGAGGTAAAACTACAGAGTCCAGCTTTAATTCTGATTTATGTGACGCACTCTGCTTTAAATCAGGACACAAATGTCTTCTCTTACATGCTTTTTGGAACATTGTGGACCAGCAACCAGCTGCTACTTTTTAGAAACTCTTTTCCTCATAACACCCTGCCCTCTTCATCATCACATTAGTGTGTAACTACGTATCGGTGCATTTGTTTAATTCTACTGCATGTATTGTTCTATATTTCAGCACTGCTGTATATACAGAATTTAATGCTGAACAATTACTTATGTATTGGTCTTATTTGTTCTCAGCTAAACCATGAAACGCTCTTCGTAACCTGTAGCACAGTACTTTATATTTATTGGAAATGTAATTCAAAACAAAATAAAAAAGACACAGAAGGACAAAATCAGCTAGCATCATAACAAAATTTAACTCATTCACTGCCAATGACGACTAAAGTTGTCATTTGCATTTTTTTTTACTGTTTGAGCATCAGAACGAGCCCCCGCGCTGAGAGAACAAACATCTCAGCCCTGAAGCCGATCTTCATCCGCATACGTCACATGATCAGGAAAAAGACCATCCATGTATTAGGAGATCGTTTTGGGCCGTTCCTGTAAAAAAAGTGAAGCACGAACCGGAAAAGCGTCTGCCAATCACAATTCAACAACGGATTATGAAAGAACGGATAACGCTCAAAACACACGGATTCTTCCTGATGTAAGAGGTGAGTCTCCGCTTTGTTTTGGTTGTTTTGGCATCGACATCATGCTAGAGCGCAACGTTCTGTGACTCTTAAAAAAACAGTAAAAACGGTGAGAAACGCTGGCAGCGAAGGCCGTTAGCGATCAGGAAACGGCTGGCAGTGAATGAGTTAATAGGGGTATCATTATTGATTAAGTGTAATTGTAGCCATAATTATTTTCTTTTTTTTTTAAATCATGTTTAACTCATTTAAATCTATAACTTTATTGTTTCGACATTCAGACTTCCATCGTAGATAGAAGTACAGGTTTGAGCAACACTTGAGTCTGGTCTCAAAACCAGTAAATATGAATGGATTATTACATATTAGATGTGAGGTTTTATTTGTGTAGATGTCTAACGGTTAACCCCGAAAACTGCTTTAAATAACAATCAATCACCTCACAAATAATCTCTCCAAAGGTGAGGTAAGCTCAGGAAAGAAACTTTTTAGAGCTAAAATAAATCCAATTTAAGTGGAACAAGACATCAATGTGAGGCTAAATCAATGAGAAACTCGGCTGCTGAAGACTTTACTACCTCTTTACCCGGAATCAAGACCTTTGTTGCCAGGGGAAAAGCCTCTGGAATGCTGGTTATTCAAGTCGTGTTGTTTTTGGTGGGGCACTCATTAAAGTGTTTTTCATTCACCAGCTCATGTTTCAGCTTCTCTACTTTCCTTCTTTATCTACACACACACACACACACTGTAAAACGTCAGCAAACACATAAAAACAAGCTTATCTTTTTCTTAAAGGAGAATCACAACTCAGTGCTTCACACAAACCAGTGTTGTGCCGATGGCCCTCACCTTGTGTTATACTGGTAAAACAAAGACCCTGACCTTGTGGTATACTGGTAAAACAAAGACCAAATCGTGCTTGTGAGTGAATATTTAATACACAAAAGCTTAGATCAGTTGGTGCAATTTGACAAGTAAAAAACGATTAACAGAGTCATTTGAAACAAAGAGTTTGCATATGTGGAGATGTTGCTTCAGAGGTCAGGGCAACAGCGCAGCTAGGTGGTATCCTGAATTATTTGTATAGAAGGAACAAGAGTCTTGCTGTTTGCTTTGTCAGGTCTGTTGTGTTTCCCCGTTGTGGGAGAAGGCGGAACATGCTCAGAGACAATCCTGAATCCGTGAAGCATCCTGTTACCAGACTTAATCCGTGGAGACCCAACATGGAGTAAAGGAACTTCTAAAGTGTCCTTGGGCCTGGCTACATGTGACGCTTGGCTCAGATTTGTATTGATTGAATCAAAAGTAAAATGAAAAGAATTAAGTAGTTATGGATAAAAGTTTTAGATCTCCTACAAAACATTTTGAGTTACAGCTCATGGTAATAAAAACAGAATACACATAAACCTTTCATCATGACGACTTTTAAATGAAAAATTTAAATCTGTGAATGCAACAGAATGATTATTAATTATTAACATATTTTGGATCCTCCATTAGACTCCTGCATATGTACCATTGTAAGAGAATGGCCTCTCTGTCACACAGTGACCTATGACCTCAGGCGTCCATCTCTGGATTTTGGGTTTGCCATCCTGGCCAGGACGAACAATGACGGTGCTTTTGGATGCCAGAGAGGGATCTTCGTTAAAGAAGTTGAAGGGTCTGAGGAAGAAGCCTACTGCATTCCCAGGTGTGGCCGTGTTGGGAATGTCTTCTGAATGAGGCACGTGTAGGAAACCCACCGTTACCCAGGCAACTAGGTCCTGCAGAAAAATAAACAGAGGGAATGAAAAGATTTTAAAATATTATCGAAGAAAACTCTGAAGCCTCAACCCAACCTGACCATACATGCATGTATTAAACATTAATTATTGCATAAAAGCAGCAAAATCAGTAATAATAAAGCAACCAAGCATAACATAATACAGAACTTTAAAAAGCAGCAGAAAAGAAGTGTTTTCAAACAGTCAGAGTTTCCTATCTGTAATGAAAAATCCGCCTATGAATTTATATACATTTGAATGACCAACTAATGATAAATTATCACCATACTGTAGAATTTTTAAATATCAGAATAAACAGTTCTAACATAAGTCCTAACCCTAACAGTGGCAACCTGGACTTACATGGACAAGCACCATCATATACTGGTGATTTTCTTAGTCCCTACACCCCCAGCAGGTCCCTGAGGTCCAGTGACCAAATCCTACTGGTTGTGCAGCATCAGGCTAAAGGTCAAAGTTAAAGTTAAAGTCCCATTAGTTGTCACACACACAGGTGTGTGTGCGAAATTTGTTCTCCGCATTTGACCCATCCCCTGGGGAAGCGGTGAGCTGCAGACACAGCCACGCTCGGGAACTATTTGGTGGTTTAACCCCCCAATCCAACCCCTTAATGCTGAGTGTCAAGCAGGGAGGCATCGGGTCCCATTTTTTTCAAAGTCTTTGGTATGACCCGACCAGGAATCGAACACCTGATCTCCCAGTCTCAGCAGGGCCGGCTCTGTCGACAGGCGACACAGGCGGCCGCCTGGGGCGCCATCTGATGGACAGGGCGAAAAATTTCAAAAAATAAATAAAATAAAATAAAAAAAAAGTTGATTAAATTTATGTTTGTAATATGAAATGCGCCCTCTGCATAATCAAAATTTCCCTCTGCTCTGAAATGACATGAAATTGAAACATCAATATTTAAATTCTAATAATCTGGCTGCATGACAAGCTCCCGCTTGGGCCACCGCTCCGATGCATTTGAAAGTTAAGGTTGCCGTAGATCAAGTGCGTGGTTGGTGGCGCTGTAGAAGGACTTCCTGTTGTCGCGTTTAAACCTTTGGTATTTTACGATGAAAAGAACACCTAAGCCATCGGGATCAGCATTCCGAAAGAGACGGAAGGAGGAAGAAAAAAAACGGGCCCAAAGCAGAGGTATGTAGACTTTATAAATTTGGCAAAGGAACTTTTTGCGTTAGCATTGTAGCTAACTGCCTCTCCTGCCACGCACGGTCCACGGACGGACCCTCGCTAGCTGTTTACATACACAATACAGAATCTCATAACTTTAACCAATTAATTTTACTTTTGAATCGTCGTGTACAGATGCAATGAGACAATATCTGCAGCCACACAGGCACCTGTTGACACCACAGGGGCGGGACTGTCTTCAACACCTGTTGAGTCTCACTGTGAAGACGAAGAATGTAAGATTTTTGACTGTTTTTTGGAATATGATCGCAGGCTTTTTATGAACTTTGTTTCAAGTTTTAAGTAGGCATACAATATTTAATATTTGTATATCAGAAGAACGTGTGGGTGGGTGTAGCAAACTTTCACTTTGTCCGACACATCGGGCGGGCGGCGCCGCAGCGGCCGTGGCGGGGACTCCCCCGCTGCCGCCGGGCTGGCGGGGAGTGAGAACTGCCTAAACACAGCATGACATCTTATGCCGTCTATTTCTTGTTTACGCTGCAGCGTCTTCTATCCAGGCATCAAGCAGCAGCAGCACATTTACTGAGCTGCAATCTCAGCATCTAGAACCAGGTGAGTAAGTTACTTGTTAGGCTATTTGTAATCAGCAGTAGAAACGGACTTTTTCAAATTAAACGGCTTATCACATATATCGCTATGCAAAATTAATTTATTTAAATCCACACCAGACACTTGTTTTTGGCACAGTGAGTGCAGCATTGATTTAGCATTGAGAATATTAAATAATCTGAACATACACATCTGAAATCGTCTCCTTACTTAAGGATGTCATTGTCAATAAGGCTCTAAATTTGTAAAAAAAAAAAAAAAGGATGGACATTAGTTTTTGTGACATTAGTCGGTGTTTCCTTGTTTAATAAATTAAAACCTCAGAGTGCCTCAGATCACCAGTTCTTCTTCCTCGTGTTCTACAATTTATTTGATGCTGAAGAGCACCTGAGAGTGAGACATAATTTATTACAAATATTCCCCATGGATGCACTCACTTCCACCTGTTTTTGATAATTGCATTCATGTTTTCATAGAACAGATAAAAAAGATCAATAAAATAAAAAGTCCAGTATCATTAAAAATAATGAAAAGCATCACTGCACATGACTGAGGAAGTAAAATACTGAATGTGAAAGTGGCACTGTTCTTAAGTAATTCATGCATCAGAAGGTTAAGTTGCTTTGTGTGTGTGTGTTTTCTTTTTCTCACAGAAGAAGAACCCAACACCAGCAGACTCAGTGCTGCTTCAATCCAACAGCCTGAAGAGACACCATCATCAGCTTCTAGAGATGTCTGTGAACATGTACGGGCTGGCCCCATGGATCCTGCTGACTGGCCACAGCAGTTGACTGATGCAGTGAAAAGTGAATTAGTTAGTCGAGGACCTTATGAGGTAAAGCCAGGTTTCACTTTCCCCAAAAATGAGGACGGAAGAAGTTTCCATCACCACTATGTCCACAGACAGTTAGTGAATGGGGAGAAAATCAAGAGAACGTGGTTGATGTATTCACCCAAAAGGGATAGTTTTTACTGTTTCTGTTGCAAAATCTTCTCCCAGAAAGCATTTAAATTAAGTAGGGATGGGTTTAACTACTGGAAAAACTGTAGTGAGACTCTTAAAATGCATGAAAATAGTCCAGAACACACCAAGAACATGGGATTGTGGAAGGAACTAGAGAGCCGTATAAGAACGGGCAAAACAATAGACAAAGTGGAAATGGCACTAATAAATACAGAAAGAAGAAGGTGGCGTGAGGTGCTTACCAGGTTGGTTGCCATCATCCAGTCATTGGCCGAGCGCAACATTGCTCTCAGGGGAACCACTGACAGATTAAATGCTCCCAACAATGGCAACTTCCTGAAAGAAGTGGAGCTTATGGCTCAGTTTGATCCTGTCCTAAAGGAGCATGTTGCCAAAGTGGAAGGAGGAGCGAACCACACATCATACCTTGGAAAAATCATCCAAAATGAAATCATTGACTGTATCAGTGAAAGGATTGTGGAGTCCATTGTGTCTGAAATTATACAGTCAAAATATTTTTCAATAATTTTAGACTGCACTCCAGATTTGAGCCACAAAGAGCAGTTGTCAGTGATTCTGAGAATTGTTTCAATTGAAGGTATTCCACAAATAAAAGAACACTTCCTTGGTTTCCTTGAAGCAGAAGAGACAACCGGAAAAGGCCTTTCAGAACTAATTTTAGGGAGACTTCAAGAGTTACACATCCCATTTGAGGACTGCAGGGGGCAGTCATATGATAACGGTGCTAACATGAAGGGGAAGAAAGCAGGTGTTCAAGCAAGATTACTACAACGAAACCCCCGAGCATTATTTGTGCCATGCGGAGCACACACTGTTAATTTAGTTATCTCGGATGCAGCAAAGAGCTCTGCAGATGCAACTGGATACTTTGGCTACCTACAGAAACTGTTCACTTTGTTTTCTGCTTCCACTAAAAGGTGGTCCATTCTACAAAAGCACGTGAACACAACTCTGAAATCCTGGGCAGATACACGATGGGAGAGCCGAATTAACAGTGTGGCAGCTGTAAGGTTTCAGGCTGCCAAAGTTAGAGATGCCCTTATTGAGGTGAGAGACAGCACTGCAGACCCAATCATAAAAGTAGAAGCACAGTCTTTGGCTGAAGAAGTTGGTTCATACCGCTTCTGCATTTGCACTGTTGTCTGGTATGACATTCTGGTAACAGTCCAAAATGTCAATAAACTGCTGCAGTCTGCAACCGTGCACTTGGATGTTGCTGTAGACCTCCTGAAAAAAGTTGACGTCTCCCTTGCCAGTTACAGAAACACTGGTTTTGCTGATGCACAATCCTCTGCAAAAGAATTGTGTGAGGAGATGAATGTAGTTGCTACCCTAAAACAGATGAGGCTCAGAGTGACCAAAAGGCAATTTTCCTACGAGGCTCCCGATGAGCAGCTTAGTGATGCACTGAAGAGAATGGAAATTTCTTTCTTCAATGCAGTTGTTGATGTGTGCATTTCATCACTAAGAGAAAGAACAGAAATGATGGGTGACATTGCTAGCAAGTTTAGTGTTCTCACAAACTTCCCTGATCTCCCAGCTGATGAGCTTGTGAACCAAGCAAAAAAACTGGCCAACACCCTGACCTTCGGAGATCAATCAGATTTGGATGCAGAAGAACTGATTGGGGAGATGCAATCTTTTCCAACTTGGCCGAAACACAAAATGACATCTCTTGAACTGTTGGTGTTTCTTGAGGAGAAAAACCTTAAGGAAGCATATCCCAATCTATGGATAGCACTGAGAATTGCTGCCACAACTCCAGTGACTGTGGCATCTGCTGAGAGAAGCTTCTCCAAGCTCAAGCTAATCAAGACATATTTGCGATCCACAATGTCTCAGGAACGTCTCAGTGGACTGGCAATAATAAGCATCAATCAGGAAGTGTCAAAACAAATTTCATTGGATGAAACCATAGATGCCTTTGCTGCTAGAAAGTCCAGACGAGTGCAGTTTTGAATAACACTGGAAATGATAGTGAGGTTTTGGTGTTTGAGATTATCTTTTTGTGGAAATAACCCACAATATTTTCCATCTTGGCCCAAACCTAAAATGACAGCACTATAACTTATTTTCCTTGAGGTGAGATTTTAGTGCTTCTCTGTTGTGTAAGAATCTTTTGATTGCCCACTGTGATATGTTTTTAAGTTTTATTTATAACAACATTGACTAAAATGGAAAGTAGAACTTTCTTTATGACACTTTGATATTTGAGTTTTACTTTTGATTGCACAGTTTAATGCTG